TATTATTATTTTTATTTTTATTATTATTATTATTATTATTATTATTATCATTATTATCTTTATAAACCTTCTTTCTTCCTGACATCTTGACATTGCGGCGAGAACAACGGTGGGTTTTAATCTATGAGCCAGGTGCTAAAGAGGCCAGAGAATCCTTTTTTTGTGTGTGTCAAGTACCAAAGAGGCCAGAGAATTGTTGCTACGTTTACATTAATTTGGAGTCGACAGAAAAAACACACGTAAAAACAACTACTATGAGAGCCAGTAAGTTATGCAATGACAACGGTTTAGCCTGAGTCTGCCTGCACACTGGGGTCTATATTGTAGCTGTTAGGCATTTTGCAGTCATACGAAGGAGGCTACAGTTCGATTCCTATTTAGGGGTGTATGTCAGGGTTTTTGTTGGGATAATGTATCCTTCTCAAGGATGAACGAAGTCTGCCTCTATAATGAATAACGATCTAAACTGTGCCGATGGTGGTTTGAAAACACCAATATTAAAAAGAAAAACTAGTTTTAAGAGTCCGTAGAGGACTCATCGATGAACGAGTCTTGTGTATGTAATCTTTAGAATAAAAAAATAATGTATAAAACAATATAGTTCTACATGAAAATTTTATTATTAAAATTGTTCAACGTTTCACGTCGATGGCCTTTTTCACAAGCTACTCTCTGACTGCTGCTTACCATCGCCATCCCTATCAGCTATCATCATTCATCATCCTACGTAAAGAGAACATTTTATGCAGTGTTTATACCTCTAGCCAGACTCAACGAGAAATTTCTCACTAACATTAAGAGTCTTCTAATTCGTTGGCTCCATAACTATGCACGCAATATCATTTCCATCTACCAAGAACTGGCAGAACAATAAAACCAAACAAATTTGGACAAGAGAAGGAAGAGGATGGGGGGAGGAGTAATGAGTGGTCAGCATGAATAAACTTAGTCTGCCATGACGAAAATACTCACACAGTTGTATTTCGAGTCCACGTCTGAAAGCAGCGCGTGCAACATTCTGGGGGACGAATTTCCCTCTGGGAATGCCGTTCATATCCGTCACAGTTAGCTGAACGAGATCGAAATCCTCCACTTTGTACTTAGAATCTGCCACTTCCATGTTGCTTCTGTGTTGTATGTAGTGCTGAATTGCTTACAAAGGGGGTTTCCGTAGTAATGCAACAGTTGTAATTGTAACTAATTCCCAAACAGGCTGGTTTCAGGAAGCGTGAACTATTCCAACCTGACAATCAATAAATTATTTATAGAGGCACCAACCAAGAAACATTCCAAATTCACTCAAACCCGTTATAAAAATCGTCACTGTTGATCTTGTGCTAATGTCTAGATTTTCTTTGTCGATGTAGAGTGTAGAGAGTATTCCTTGCACGTCAGTGAGGGTGAGTTACGTGTGGACGTCTGTCTGAAACCTCGTCACACACAGACAGACCAACCTCGTCACACACACAGACAGACCAACCTCGTCACACACACAGACAGAGAGACCAACCACGTCACACGCATAAACAGACAGACAGACAAGTGCAGCGTTTCCCCGACCTAGTTTCACACACACACGGTTTCACAATATGTATTTTTGGAATAGTTTTGCAGACTTCACAATTCTACACCACTGGTCCAGTAACAACAACACGGTCCGTACTTCGCCTTGTGTTTGTTTTTTTCTCTGTTTTTTTCTCCCTCGTACACAGCATCGGTTAATGTATAGTTACATCAGAGAGTTTAAACAGTAACACTGTAACACTGGTACTACTGTAAAACTCTCTACTTATAATATCAACGCTCTGGTTATATTTTCCAACCCCGGCCTAGTTTCAAGTCCCATGACCTATACTACATGGGCTGCCTCAGTCCAGATATTTGCTAAAAATAGACACAAACAACGAGAGAGAAGCATGGTCAAATCTTTGGCATGGTTCTGTACCGAGTCACACCTTTACTGTGGCCTTTCCTCTCCTAGGCCTATATCTAGGTCCGCAGTCACAATGTTGAGTTACAAAATATTATAATGACAATAACAAGCATAAACGTAGAAGCAAATTAGAAAAACAGAATAGTTAATCAACAGACTGAAGAAAGAAGCTAAGAGAGCTCCTAGACATGGATGGCTGGTGCCTCGATAAATAAATCATTCAAGGTTAGGTCTATTATACCTGTAACAATAAATGTGAGGCATCGTGGTGAAATCAGGCGCTCGTCAAAATAATGAAATCAGAGAAAAAGGCATTTTTCAATGAGTTTGGCAATTTTTATCGAAATTTTGTTTTTTGCCTAAACACCTTGAATGTTTGTATGAAAACATTTCCACGTGAATTTTACTGAAAACCTTTGTTTAAAGGCACAAAATATGTAATTTCCAGTTTTCAAGACTCTTAAGCTATTCAAGTTGCCAGACTTTGGCGGCCATTTCCTCATTAATTTAACCACTGAAACCAAGCTACCCCATCTTCTTCAATCGCAAGTATCTCGACTTCTATTCAAGCTTGTTGGATATTTTGTTCATCGCAAGGAACGCAAATAAATAAGAATTCAGGTGATATCAATAACTCCACAAGCCCAACAATTGACGAGTGCCTGATCCCACCACGTTGTGCCACAAATATATCTTTAAAATAGCACATTATATTCCCGCTCAACAGCACACTCTATGCGCTTTACGATCCATAATAGTATTGATCTATATATTATCTAGTATTGATCCATCAGACCCTTGGACACTCAGAAATATTTGTGGCTTCCCTGGAAGCATTCAATTGACATAGATCTAGATCTAAACCAACCGTGGCAACTGTAACTTGTCGTCTGCGTTTTGTCCGTCGTCAATTTTGACCTTGCCACGAGCGGTTGAGTCAATTTTAATAAAAGTTTCATTTTAAAATCTGTGACTTGAGTCAATGTGGGTGTTTATTAATAGCATAGTGTACGCTTTCCGGTGGTGAGGTAACTTTCTAATTTTGTACGTAAGCAGAATCATCTTGGGGGCTTTCGTAATTTGAATTATCTGTTGGCAGAATTCTTTCTCTCTGTCTGTCTGTCTGTCTGTCTGTCTGTCTGTCTGTTTGTCTGTCTGTCTGTCTGTCTGTCTGTCTGTCTGTCTGTCTCTCTCTC